TCAGGCGCTTTGCTGCTAAGCTAAATCCCCAGCCCCAAGACCCTGTTTTAAAACAAACAAACAAACACACAAACGGAAATAAGCCAGGCTGAAGCAGTAAGGGATTGTTATTGGCTCAAGTAACTAAGGAGTTCACAGGTTTTGTGGTTTCAGGTGAGGTTGGACCAAGGGCGCAATGGTGTCACTACAGCTTTTGTCTTTTTTCCCTCCTGTCACAGCGTCCTCTGCAGCAGTGGCTTTCCTGGAGGGTCAGCAATGGCAGCCAGTGGTCCTGGCTCAGCTTCCTGGTCTTCGTCCCATATTTGCAGCAAGCTGGTTGAGCTAGCTCAGGTCTCTCTGCCTCCTCCAAGCCAGTCATAGCGTCCAGCACCTTAGGGGAGGCAAAAAGTGGGGAGGGATCAAGCCACAGCACCACATGGATCCCCAAGAAAGCAGCAGGGGAAACGGATGTTAAGGGACAGATTTCTGAAGGAGATAAGGCATGCTAAGGAGCTGGGGCTTAATCCCAGGATAAAGGGAAGCAGCGGGCTGACTTGATCAGATTGGGGCTTTAAAAGATCACCCTGGCTGTGGGGTAGATAGCAGATTGGAGGAGGGTAAAGGCGGAGGCAGGGAGGCCAGCTGGCAGGCTCTTTCAGCGGTGAGCTGGGCCGTGTGAGAGGGATGCGACTGTGAAGGACCAGAGTCTGCCAGGTCCGGGACTGAAGGTGAAGGCGGGTGGGAGGGTGACCCCGCTTTACGCTGAGTCTTGGCTGGAAGGAGGGGTAGGAAAAGGGGCAGGCGGGGTATGTGGGGGTGATAATTCTGAGATCAGTTTTGGACAAACCTGAGTGACAGAAGTCCAGTCCAGAAGACCTTTGGTTGCTTGTGGGCATCTGGAGCCCGGGGCTGGAGGTTTGGGCTGGGTTCTAGGAAGGGAACTCATAACCTGGAGATTGCTACTGGGGAACTGAAGGACGTGGACAGAGCCCAAAGGACCAACACCAAGAGCTTGGAGGCCAGCCGGGAGCTGGGGTGCAGTCGTGGCCAGAGCTGGAGTCCACACCTACCCAAGGGTCTTTGCGTTTAGAGGTAACAGAATCACAGTTGAGCTTGGCAGCAACAGCTTCTGTGGAGGGGCCCAGGCTGAAGTGGAGCTGTAGGGGTTGTGGAGGGAATAGAAAGTGAGGGCAGGGCAGAGAGGTGTGAACAACTCTTTCAAGAAGCCCAGCTGGGGATATAGCTCAGCGGCATAGGCGTCTACCTGGCAAGCATAAGGTCCTGAGTTCCATTCCTGGTACCAAAAAAAAAAAAAAAGTGTGAATTAAAAAGAAAAAGAAGCCCAGTTTTTTTGGGCGTGGTGGTGCACGCCTGTAATCTCAGCACTTGGGAGGCTGAGGCAGGAGGATTGCTGTGAGTTTGAGTCCAGCCTCAGCTATAAAGTGAGTTCAAGACCAGCCTGAACAGCATAGTGGAATCCTGTCTCAAAATGGCCAAAAAAAAAAAAAAAAAAAAAAGAAGAAGAAGAAGAAGTCCAGTTTGGGCCAGGTGTGGTGGCACACACCTGTAATCAAAACACTTGGGAGGCAGAGGCAGGAGGAGTTTTGGTGTGAGTTGAAGGCTAGCCTGCATTATATAGGGAGCTCAAGGCCAGCCTGGATTACATACCTGTACTGAGACCCTGTCTCAAAAAAAAAAAGAAGCCTAGCTTGTGGGGGGCTTTACTGGAAAGAAGTAGCTAAGGTGAGCACAGGCTGGAGGGAGAGCTGTGGGGTACATGTGAGGGGGGCATGTGTTTAGAATGGAAGGGCGTGAGCAGGGTCTGCGCAGAGGGAAAGACAATCCCAGAGGAGGAGGGGCGAATGGGGTGTGCGTGGGAGGCAGGCTGAGCGCGGTGAGGTTGGTCCTGCAGGTTCCCCCGCCAGTGGGCAGGGGCCCAATCTGTGGGTGTGGTGCAGCTGGAGGGGGTTCCTGGCCACCAGTCTCGGTCCTCTCTGGAAATGGGAGCCACGCTGTGTGGTGTAGGGGCGGTGGAGAGGGCTGTAGAGGGAGGCAGGAAGGGTACTCCCGGCCTGGCCTATGCCCTGGGTGTCCCTTGGAAGAGCAGAGCTCACCTGCAGGACTGGCAGTCCTGAGGCACAGGGCACATGGATGGGGGGCAGGAGGGGGTGGAGCATCCTGGGGCACCAGATAGGGCTATGGAAGGTGAACAGACCTGTTTGACTGGATCAAACACAAACTGGAGCACCCCCACACCCTTTTTCTTTGAGACAGGGTCTACCTATGTTCTTCAGGCTGACCTTGAACACACTATGTAGCTCAGACTGGCTCTAGTTCATGGTGATCCTCCTGCCTCAGCCTCTTGAGTGTTGAGATTACAGGTGTGCACCATCATGTCCAGTTTAGAGAGCCTGTGCATACTGGGCTAGAGAGCATTGCCTGTAAAACAACAGGAAGCTGTGAAAGGTTATGTGGAGCAGCCGTGGGGCATGATCAAAGGAAGAATTGAAGAATCTATATCCAAGCTGGGTGTAGTGGTGCACACCTGTAATCCCAGCACTCAGGAAGCTGAGGCAGGAAGATCCCTGTGAGTTCAAGGCCAGCCTAAGCTACATAGTGAGTTCAATGACAGTCTGAACTGCATAGTGAGACCCTGTCTAAAAAAAAAAAAAAAAAATCTGCATCCAAGCTGGGCTCTACCTATAAACCCAGCATTGTGAGAGGCTGAGGCAGGAGGATCACAAGTTCAGACTCTGCCTTAGGAATTTAGGGAGACTCTGTCTCAAAAATATACAAAAACAGGCAAAGAATGTAGCTCAGTGTGAAGGGCCTGGGTTCAATCTCCAGTACTGCCCCCCTAAAAAAATCTGTATTTGAAAAAAAAAAAATCATGTGTGCATAATGGATTGGAGGGGTCAGATAGAGGTGGGATTCTGGAGCTGTTGTCAATAGGGAGGGTGTCAACTGCCCAGTCATGGAGGAGGAGCAGCCCAATGCGGCTATGGCCCTGAGCTGTTCCATAGGTTATGGGCAGTCTCATGTAGAAGTAAGCCATGGGCAGAGGGGGCTTAATGAGGGTGCTCAAGCAGAGATCCTAGTTTCAGAAGGAAGCTAGTGTGGATTTTTTTTTTTTTAAACAGGTTCCCACTATATAGTTCAGGCTGGCTTTAAACTCACTACCTGTAGCCCACGCTATCCTTGAACACAGGCAATCCCCCTGCCTCATCCTCCTGAGTGCTGGGATCATAGGCAGATGCCATCACGCCTGGTTTAGATGGATATTCTCACTACATTCCATCTGAGATGTCACTGGATCTTCCTTGTAATTGATGAGGTCAGGATTATCATTCCCCTTTTTTTTTTTCTTTTGTCTTTTTGAGACAGGGTCTTGCTATGCAGTTCAGGCTGGGCTTGAGCTTACTTTGTAGCCCAGGCTGATCTTGAACTTGCAACGATCCTCCTGCCTCAGCCTCTGGAGTGCTGGGATTAC